ACACCATCTTTACTACTAATTGATATGTAAATCATCATTGGAAGTCGATCTTCTTGTAAAAAAGGTGTTATGCTTCGCCGCCTAGGCTTCCACATGGCTTAGCCGACCCACCGAAGCACCTTTTACCAAAGCCATGTGGAATCTCACATGGAGTTAAGATTTACCAGAGTCCAGACAAATCCGACCTACTGAAGTGCTATCTTGCTGAAGCATTTCATGAGACTGATCCCTTTAGAAGTCCCCATGCTAAAGACTAATTCGAGGTCCAAACAAAACTTCTTTGCCGAAGTGGTAAGATTCAACAAAGTAGAATTCGAGGCTCAACTAAGGTTGATGACTATCCACGTTTGAAAATCTTGAATTTATGAAATCCTTTTAGAATAATTGATTGAACTTTTGTAATGAGTAGAAAGGTCAATCTTATCAGCATAGGTTATGGGGTGGCCACCTCATTTTTGGGACATTTAATGCGCCACAAGCCAGTGGAGTCAAAATTGATAGCTAGAATGTGATACTTCGATAAAGAAGATGAAGCCACATGTTACCCCATCCAATGATTACTATTTCACAATATATAAATATCTACCACTTGTGTAATTTGGGTGTAATGTAAAAATATTAACTACGAGCCAAATATTCTCTTTCTTTTGTATTTATTTTTGGTTTCTAGTGTTTGGGTGTTATCTTGATTTTGAGTTTGGCTCTTAGTTGCTCATTCATTATTTTGTAATTTATCTCATATATTTTATCGGAGTCCGAACATTTTTGTCTCGTGTTATAAATTGTGTGTTTTCCTTTGCATTTAATCACGGATCGATGCAATTCAAATTACAAAATAATCCTCGTATGAACAATGCTCTCAACTTATTCAAAACTACTACTTGTGTTGATCTCTTACCTTTGTGCATTTTCACCGAACATAGTGCTATTCTCTTTTTTAGATTTGTAGATATATTAGGATTTGAGATTTTCATTTTGAAAGATCAATATTGATATGAGGAGTAACACAAATTATATTTCGGTATTTAACCTATGCTATCCCTTAACATGTCCACATAAGACGGTGGCTCATTTGAACAAATAAATTTTGAATTCCGTGTAATATTTGAACTTGAATCAAATTTATTTGATTATTGGAGTTCAACGAACTTTGATATCATATTAAGATTTAGGGTTCCATCTTAAAACGTAACATTTTCAAGATGAGCAAGTGAAATCCTTATGATTTATATTTCGATATTTAGTCAATGCATGATTTATCATTTAATACTAAATTTTCCTTTCTTTCGATTATTAAAGCTCAAGTGTGAGTTAATCTTTCTTGTGAGTAAACATGCATGTTAAATTAGTATATTATTGATTACAATACTACTCAATCTCTAATAATAAATAGACTCCGTTTAATGGAAATTAAAATCAGAATTTTAGTAAATTTTGGTAAAAAAAAAGAGGAAATATGAGGTTGAAAATTCGTGAATATGGTTAAAATTAATTTTTTGATTTTGACTTAAATTAAAATCTGAGTTTTAATTTTCTACCAAAGAGGAGCATAATCTTTTCAGTGTGGATGAGATAAACATCTAAAATCCCCAGTTAAGTGACGTTGGCAGTCATTCCTAATAGGTCTGTCCGTGGGTCGGTTCGATTCGGTTCTGAAGAGATTCGAACCAATCCAAAACTTTCGAGTATTTAATAAATGGATCTGTCGGGTCCAAATATAATTATGGACCCGTTCGGGTTCGGTTCCGTTCGATTCAGTTCGGGTCGGTTCGATTCCATTCGGTTCCATACCATAATTAAATTTTTTAATATTTACATCAACACTACACAAATACAACTAATGACATTTCATTCGTAACTTTTACAAATTAACGTAGCCCAATTCAAAAACATATAAATAACTAGCCGTCCAATAAGATTAATTCAATGCATACAAATACAAAAAAGTAGATATTAATAT